ATCCTGGATGATGTGATCTGTACGTGGACACAAACCCTTCCAAGGCTCTTCATGGGATATGGGACTTGGGAATTCCAAGGCTTCAAAAGCACAGCTGGCTTCCAGCTCAGCAGGGAATGTTTGCACTCAAGAACATCCCCAATTTTTGGAGGGAGAGGAGAGGACATGGAGACACCCCCAGGGCCTTTCTGAACCAGACAGATCAGAGGAACCTCCAAAAGATGGGGAATGTTACTCTTAAAAAGCTATGTTTTTTTTTTCTCCAAAGGAAAAGAAGATTTTCTTTCATGGCATCCACAGGGATGGAAAAAAAAACCCCAACAACCCAAATTAAAACCTCATCCTTTGGCCCACAGGAGGGGCTTCAAACCATCACCTGAGTCAAACACAGTCTCTCGTTACACCTCATTTTTTCCTACTTGCAGGAGGGTGAAATCAGAGACATGACATCAAAATAATTCATTTTTGCTGTAAAACTATTAAAAAATAATAATAATAAAAAAAAAAATTGGCCTCTGTCCACCACAGCTTCATTTTTTCTGTGCTGCAGCTTTTCCTCCCACACTGATGTAATGGGAGTTCACGTTCCCAGAGGCTGCTGGGGTTGTACAATGCAGTCATTAGTTCCTCATCCCTGAAGATGTCAGGGGGAGGCAGGAAATGATGCCGAGGTTCTGGGAGTACCTCTCTCTTAAGGTATTTCCCTCTGAAGTGGAGAATTTCCTGAATGAAGTGTGAAGGTGCTCAGGTTGCTCCCAGTACAAAGCAGCCTCTTACTGGAGCCCCCACTGTTCCCAGCACGCAGAAATTCAGTTTATCCCGATTTAAAAGCCAAGGGATTTCTTTTTGTGGTCGCAGAGAAAGAAAGTCAAGTGAAAAACCCTAAATAAATCTGATATTGGGGGGATTTGGGGGGGTTGGTGACTTCTTTCTATCAACACCAACACAGGCACATACAGTGCTTGCCAGTCCAGAGATGGGGTTCAGGGGTTGGCAGAATCCCGGGATATTTAGGGTTGGAAGGGACCTCTGGAGATCATCCAGGCAGGGTCACCTGGAGCAGGTGACACAGGAACTCCCCCAGGTGGGTTTGGAATATGGGAAGAAGTTTTTCCTCACGTCGAGGTGGAATTTCTGGTGTTTTAGTTTCTGGCCATTGCTCCTCACTCCTTATTTCACTTTTTAGGTGAAGAGAGGTCCATGTGCCTGTGGCAGAACTGGTGATGCCTCTGTGATCCCTCACCCTACCCAGGATCTTGGCCAAAAGGCCGAGGACTCAATGGGACACTGAGGAAATTTGTTGATAAAACAAATTTGGGAGGAGCTGTCGACTCCCTCGAGGGCAGAGAGGCCCTAAGGAGAGACCTGGATAAATGAGAGGGCTGGGAATCACCAGAGGTGTGGAATTTAACACACACAGGTGCTGGATTCTGCCCCTGGGATTGGGCAACTGGACAAACTCGGGAAGGAGAGGCTGGAAAGCAGAGCCACAGGAAGGGACCTGGGGGTCCTGGTTGGTGGCAAGTGGAATATGAGTCAAGAGTGTCCTGCTGGGCAGGGCCAGGAGTTGGACTGGATGGTCCTTGTGGGTCTCTTCCCACTCAAAATATTCCAAGATTCTATGATGAAACTGGTCCTTTCCACCTATGAGTATAAAGAAAACCCCACCAGTGGGTTTCAGGCTCTGCTTTGAATTAATCTTCCCTCAGAAAAATCTTTGGGAACAAGGATTAGAGCTAAAATGAGAGCTACAGATGATCCATGTTGCTTCCAAGCCTGTTGCTTGAGTCTCCTGCCACTGGAGACTCCCAAGGATCCCTGTGAACACCTCAAACCTCAAGGAAATCCAGCAGTGGTCCCGTCTCCAGCAAATCTGGTGCTTAGGGACTCATCTTAACGAACTCAGGGATGGAGCAGGAACCCATTTTCTCCTTGGAAGGGTTAAAGCTTCCCTGCCACGCTAATGATCCTTGGAAGGTCATTCCCAAGCACCTCACCTGGCTCCAAACCCCCCGACTGGCCCGGCCAGGAGCCTCTTGGAGAAAAAGTGTAACTTTTAACATCTCCCGGCAGAGCAAGGGCTCTGTTTGTCTTGGCAGGGAGGAGCTGTGTGTACACAGCTGGAGAGCTTGTTTTGTCTCTTAGTACAAGTCTGGGCCGAGCCAAATCTCCAAAGGCTTTGTAAAAATGCTCTCTTTATTTAAAGAATTTTATACATTACAAGATGTCTCCAAAGTCTGCCCCTGCTCAGACCCCCTTCTCTTCCCTGTCTCTTCCCTTCTCCCTCCACGCTTGGGACGGTTGGTTTTCCAGCCCTTGCTGGATCCAGAAGTTTCTTTGAGGAATTTCCAGCTCTCTGTTCACACCCACAGCCAATGCCTGCCTCAATTTATGAGCCTCGACACTTCAGATCCCCGCGAGCTTGGAAAAAGAAAAAAAGCGAGGAGCTCCACGGGCACAGCTCTGGAGCTTGGATTTGTGGGGCTTTTAGGGGAAGGAATCTTCAAAGGAGAAACCAGGAAAACCTGCCATAACCAAAGCAATGCAAGGAGAGGACTTGGAGGATCTATAACTGCAGCACTCAACAAGATCTGGGTTTGAAATAGAGGTGTTGAGGCTGCCCCATCCCTGGAAATGTTCAAGGATAGGGACTGGAGCAACCTGGTCTCTTGGGAGGTGTCCCTGCCCGCGGCACGGAGGTGGAACTGGATGGGCTTCAAGATCCTTCCAACCCAAACCACTCTGTGACTCTACAGAGACTGGAACAATGAAAGGTTCCTTCAGCAAACGTGTGTGTGGAGGCTTTTAAAGAACTTTCCCTTCCCTGCAGCCAATAAATGTGAGGCTCCAACCACAGCAGAGGCCTTTTATGGGGCACCTGCACCGGGAGGTTTTCAGGAGATACTTTTCCAAACCAGGGAATGTTGCACAAGCCCGTGGAGCTGTGGGTGTTTCAGCAGGGCTGGCCCACGCCTGGGCTACCAGAAACCAACTGTTATTCCCATCTCACCCCCTAAATCACCTGGCCAAGAAGCTCCAGAGTGGAAAAAAAAACATTCGAGGCAAGAACAGCCCAAATCCTTGGACATGGAGTTAAACAGGACGAGCCCAAGCTCGGGGGGAAGGCGAGAGGCCAGAGAACCGGAGCCTTTCCAGGGAGCTTTGATCTCAACTCTGGGAGTTTGCACGGCGCTGTTTCGGTTTCATTTCTGAGCGGTGCCACCCCGAGGCCTCGCCAAAAATCATATCAGGGGCGTCCAACAGGAAAGGGAGAGATTTTGGGGCTCAGCCAAACCCTCAGTGGTTTTGTACCCGCGGTGCCCGAACGTGAATGTGATCCAGCCCCTCGGCAAAGCCACTCGTGCTTCCCACCGGAGCTGCTTCCCACCGGAGCTGCTTCCCGCTGGCACCGAACCACGGGAGGTTTGCAGCGAACCCAGAGCTGGCTCGTGCTCCCCTCCGTGGCGTTTTTAACTAAAATAAGGTTCTTTCATGGAAAAACTCGATGTTCTGGTCACGGCTTTCAAGTAAATATAGTACTGAGCCATCAAAATAACTTTGCCAAGGTGTTGTTTCTCAGTACAAGAGTACTGGCTCTTGGCCTTTTATTAAATTTGTGTTGACTTTTGGGGTTTGAGGTCCGCGGCCGTTTTGAAAACTATCAGCTGTTGGTGTTGGTGATGTCATTAGTTTTCATTTTTGAGGGCTGACCTCCTTCACCCAAAAGCATCTGTCTCCAGAGGCACCCAAGACACGTCAAAATCAGGCAATAAATTGAGTTCTTATTGGATTCTGTGTAACAGGAGAGGCAGGAGGCTGCAGAAATGGTGCTGCTGAAGGGGGGGAGCTCGGAGCTCTCCCAGGGAGCTGCCACTGCCTGCTGGAATTCCTGTGCCAGCTGGCCAAGCCTCACAGCAGCATTTTCCATGTGCTCCCGGACTCTGGGTGGTCCGGGACTCCTCCAACGTCCCTGCTCTGCCAGAGCTGCTCTGAGCCCTTCTTGGGGTGCCACAGCCTGTCAGGCTCAGGAGAAAACCTCGGGAAAGGAGGAGAAAGGGGTACAAGATCTTATATCCCCCCCCTTCCTCCTCCTGTCCTTGAGGTTTTGTCTTCCCAAGCCATCATTACAGGTGCTGTTTCCCAGGAAGTGGCTGGATGTCATTCCAAAACTGATGGGATGCAGTGAATCAATTCCTTATTTTCCTGGGCTCCCACACACAGCTTTTGCTCTCCTTGTTGAAATGGGGATGCCACCCCCATCCATGTCCCTGCCTGATTTCCATCTGCCTTCTGCCCATCCCAAGGGAGACGGGGTTGAAAGAGATGTAGGATTGGGTGTTTGGCTGCTCAGTGGGGTCATCCCACCCTAAAATCAGGGAATCTCAGACTAATTTGGGTTGGGAGGGACTTTAAATCTCATCCCTGCCACGGGCAGGGACACTTCCCACCATCCCAGCTTGCTCCAACCTGGCCTTGGACACTTCCAGGGAAGAGACATCCACAATTTCTCTGGGCAGCCTGTGCCAGGGCCTCACCCCCCTCACAGCCAGGAATTCCTCCCCAATATCTAAACCTGATTTCTCCCCCTGGCACTTTTAAACATTTTGGTTTCTGTTCTTTCCCTCTCAGTGATCAGGACGGGACCGATGGGGTCCCCTTCTCTTCGGGAGGAGCTTCCTGGCATTTCTGAGCCTCTCCCAGGTCACCAGACAAAAAAAGAGGGATGTGCCCAAGAGGAAAACACCCTTTTTGTCCTCAGCAATGATGGGAAAACACCCTTTCTGTCCTCAGCAACAAAACAAACCATGGAGAGGAGGATCCAGAGACACCACAGGGAGCGGGGACTTCTCATCCCATAACCACGAAACGCTTCGGACCCGAATTTGTCATTTCAGGCCAGGCCATCCCAGCAAAAATTCCCATAAATCGAGCACCTTTAACACACAGACTTCAACACATTATCATCTCCTGATGTTCTAATTTAACCTGATGTCCCTTACCTCTCTCACACTGGGGGCCGGTGAAGCCGTAGACGCAGGCGCAGCGGTTGGGCCCGATGCACCTCCCGCCGTTCTGGCAGCCGTTCTCACAGACAGCTGGAGGGGGGAAAAAACAAGGAGAAATCCATGATTTCTTTTGCTCCTGGTGAACCCACAGAGCTGAGGTTCAGCCACACCTGCGCTGCCAACACTTGCAGTGTCACCTCCGTTGCATCGTTCGCCCACCCGGAGCCTCCTCCATGCTGGGAAAAGTCGGAGGGTTTTTAGTTTTGGATTTTTGTTTTGGGTTTTTTTTTCCTTGGAAAATTGCACCCTGTTCCTGAACCAGCCCGTTTATGACAAGGCCATAAAACCCTTAGAGGATTTCCTAAGCTCTGGAATCTCAGTTCCTTGGGGTCAGCACCGGGATTTTAAACGTCAAGGTTGGGGATGGATTGAGGCGAACGAGAAAACGCAGACGGGAAAACGTTTAAGGAATGACAGAGTGGGAATGTGAGGAACGGGAGACGAGTCAGGAATTTAATCCCACGTTCCCAGAGCAGGGAAGGACCAGCCTGAGCAGCATGTGGACTTTTTAAATATTCATTGGCTTAAAATGGGACCTGCAAAAAACTGTGGTGGACGGTGCGGGAGTCAAAGGAGGAGGCTGGTGATTGGAATCCCGGAATCATGGAATACCCAGAGATGGAAGCGACCCACAAGGATCAGGGAGTCCAGCTCCTGGCCAGGACCAGCCTCAGCGTGGCCCTTGGTGCTTTGTGGCCAGCTCAGAGCCCAGGTAGAGCCTCCTCCCAGAGCAGAACCCATCCCGGAGCCGAGGCAGCCGGAATGTTCTCCTTTGGGATGCTGCCAGTGGGAGTCTCCATCGTTCCCACCCTCCCAGGGATGTCCTGCCAACATGTGAACCCTCTCCCAAGGACATTCCAGGTGGAGCTGGGAGCTGCACGTAACCCAGGGCTCCCTGCACGCTCCACTCCAAGCCCGGCGTTGCTGTTACTCGGAATTTTCCCAAGGTTTTTGGCTGTTTGGGATGAAATTTTCCAGCTGGTGCCTCTGGCTCCACTTGGACTTTCGGGAAAGTTGCGGCACCAACGAAGCAGTGGGAGCTGAGGGGAAGTTTAGGGGGAATGGGAAGGGGTTTAAAAGTCCTCCTTGGCTTCCCTGAGAACTTTTGGGGGTTCCCACATTGATTCCAGGGATTGGGAATTTGCCTGGAAAGTTCTGATTGATCAGAGATTCTCTCAAAGTCATTGCTTGTGGTTGCTTGTTAAAAGAAATGCTTATTAAAATGTATTATTAAATAATATATTAATAATAATATATAATATTTAGTCTGGTTATTAATTAATATATATTTACTAACATATTAATTTATTAATAATAATTAATAATAATTAACAATAAATAAATACCGCAAATAATTATGTTATAAATAAATACAAGTGTTGTTAAATGTAATAAATAATTCTATTAGAAAGAATTTTATATTATATAAACAATAATATTATTCATTCATCATTATTATAGTATAAATATATGGTTTAAAGTATAAAATTTATTATATTAATATATTATAGTAATTACATTTATTATTATATTTATTATGTTAATATATTATAATTAATATATTATTACATTATTGCGGTGTTATTAAAGTAAACATCTAAATTATTTGGTTGTTTCCAGAGGAATTTTAACTAATATACATATGTAATTATATTATATATTGTATAAGCTTTTATATTTTTATACTTCCAGTGATTTTACATCTAATATATATTTATCTTGAAATTATATCCAATATATTTACACTTACAGTGAATTTATATCAAATATAAACTCACATCAAATATAAACTGACATCAAACCGCCCATTCCCAAAGCAAATGCTGTTTATAGAAGAATTGTAACTAATATACAAATATATTTATAATATATATTAATATATTTATATTATATATATTTATATTTTTAACCTTATAGTGAATTTATATATAATATATATTTATAGTGAATTTATATCTGTTTACACTTACAGTGAATTTATATCAAATATATAGAGATAGAGAGAGAGATATAAACCAAAACTTGCTAAGGGGATAAGGATGAGATTCCAGAGGGGAGGAGAACACAGTGCTGCCATCAAAGAGCCCATTCCCAAAGAAAATGCTGTTTACAGAGGAATTTTAACTAATACACACCTATATTTAACTAACCTACACAAATATTTATATTATATATATATTTATATTTTTATACTGACAGTGAATTTATATCTAATATGTATTTATAGTGAATTTATATCTAATATATATTTATAATGAAATTATATCCAATATATTTACACTTATAGTGAATTTATATCAAATATATAGAGATATATAGATGGATATAAATCTATGCTTGCTAAGGGGATAAGGGTGAGATTCCAGAGGGGAGGAGAACACGGAGCTGCCATCCCAGAGCCCAAAAGTAATGCAGGTGCCCTCTCCCCACACGGATCCCTGGGTGCCCGTGCCCTCCCTGCCCTTCCAGTGGCATTCCCAGATCCCTGGGTGCCCGTGCCCTCCCTGCCCTTCCAGCAGCATTCCCAGATCCCTGGGTGCCCGTGCCCTCCCTGCCCTTCCAGTAGCATTCCCGTATCTCTCAGTGGCCGTGCCCTCCCTGCCCTTCCCGCGGCATTCCCGTGGCATTCCCATATCCCTCGGTGCCCGTGCCCTCCCTGCCCTTCCCATGGCATTCCCGGGTCATTCCCGCACTCACGCTGCCCGCAGTAGGTGCCGGTGTATCCCTTCTGGCACAGACACGACTCCTCGGAGCAGCTCCCCCCGTTCATGCACCTCACGTTGCACGTTTGGACTGCGGGGGAAGGAAGAGCAGGGGGAAACATCACACAGGGATCCCACCCACCCCTCCGAAATCCCGGGATAGGAGCCGCTCCCATGGGATGGACGGGCAAAGCTTCAGGAAAGTCGGGTTGGAAGAGGCAAGTTCCTTCCGGTTAAACACACTGAGTAAAAGCGTGGAATACCTTGGGATATTCCCACAAGGATCATCCAATCCAACTCCTGGCCCTGCCAACAATCCCCCCCTGTCCCTCAGAGTGTTATCCAAGAGTTCTGGACATGTTCCCCAGGGTTTTCCTTTGTTCTTCTCCACCCCCTGCCCCTCTTTATTTAAGGATTTGGGGCTTCATTTGTCCCTATGAACACAGAAACATCCACAGCAACAATGCAGCAGGATTTCTGTAGAATCCTGGAATATCCTGAGCGGGAAGGGACCCCCAGGGATCATCAGGACACCCCAACAATCCCTCAGAGGATCATCCAAACCCTCCTGGAGCTCTGGCAGCCTTGGGGCTGTGACCAAACCCTGGGGAGCCTGGGCAGTGCCCAACCACCCTCTGGGGAGGAAGAACCTTTCCTTGAGATCCAGCCTAAACTTCATTCCACAGAAACCAAAGGCACCCATCCTTTCACTTCCTCAAGGAATCCATCCCAATTAAACATCTCCAGCTTCATCCTTCCTCCAGGACATCCCACCACAGCCCAGGAGACTGTGAGTGAGGGCAGAATTCCTGACATCTCCTTTTCTTTGAGAACTCCCTCTCTTTGAACAATTTTTTTTTTAGATACTCCACTTTTCCAAGATTTTCATACCCTTTTTTTATCATTATTTCACATTACTGCTTCCCTTTAAACCCTTTTCACATCCTAAAATCTGCCTAACCTTTAAAATTCCTCCATCTTAAAGCCTCGTGAGATGTTTGGGGGGATAGAATTTCTTTGGTGGAGGAAACTTTGAAGACATTTATCATCCTTTTACAGTTACTACATGGCCTTGTTGGTGACATTCATTGGCTACAAGAGGGTTTTTTTACAGAAATCTGCAGAGAAAAGCACGTCCCATCTATTCTTCCATGTGAGACTTCAGCTTTCACACCGGATTATGGCCCACTGGATGTGACTAATGCACTGTAGGAAAACAATAGCAATAAATAAGCTGGGAAGTTTTATCCTGCTGCAGACACAAAGCCAGTATTGGGCTTGAAGTGTTTCATCACTGGAGGAGAAGAAGAGCCCAAAAAAAATTGAGTTTTCCTGCTAAACACTGAGTTACAAACGGCCCTGGAACAACACATCCCTCCTTTTGTAAGATGTGACAACTCCAACTGCAAGTGCCTGAGGTTAGAGCAAGTCATGTGAAAACTGTTTTTCACATAAAAAACAAATAAAATATTAAAATAAAAAGGCATGTAGAGCACAGCTCGTGTCTGCCAGGGAGAGGAGGGGCCGTGCCTTGGCAGCTCCGGGGGCTGGAGAGGGGGACGCGTCTCCTCCGTGCACCCAACACCACTTCCAAGCAGGCAAGAGCTGCCTGTCCAAGAGGCAGCAGGACTCAGGAGTGTCCAACAGGGATAATGAGGTTCAGAGGGATTCTGGAAGGCAGGAGGGGCGGGATGGGAAGGCTCAGGGATGGGAAGGCTCAGGGATGGGAAGGCTCAGGGGCTCCGCGTGTGCCGCGCGTTTAATCCCGGCGGCGCTGGGGTGGTTTGAATTAGTCACGATGTCTCCTCGTCTTCCTACTGCTCCCCCGAGCCAGGGATGGGGCCAAATCTAGATGGAAGCTTAATCCTTAAGGAAAACTGAGCTGGAGGCTTCAAAGCACGGCCCGGGGTTGTCAGACACAAGGTCGGGTCTCTCTGGGAAAAGGCCCCGATTCCGGCACATGTTTCCCCTTCCAGCCCTCACCTCGATCACTCAGCCCTGGGAAAGCAATTAGAGCCAGAAATCTGGGAGGGCTGCCCAGAGACACAGGGAGCTCGGAATTGTCTGTCTGTCAGAGCTGTCCATCTGTCAGGACTCTTCCTTATGCATCCCGAGCCTCACATTCAACGCAGTCAACGCCAGGTGTGAGAAATTTGGGGCCTGGGTATGAGAAGAGCCCTGATGCTCATCCAGAAACTTTCCAACTCACTGGCAAAGGCTGTTCCAGCTCCCATTTCTTACGGTCCCGAAAAGCCCTGAGGTCCCACCACCATCTGATTTATCACAGACTCCCACAACGGTTTGGGTTGGAAGGGACCTTAAAGCCCATCCAGTTCCACCCCCTGCCACGGGCAAGGGACACCTCCCACTATCCCAGGTGGCTCCAAGCCCTGTCCAGCCTTGAATGGTCCCTGTTCAACCCCCCCTGCAGATCTGGAATGCAGAAGAACCATCTTTCAACCGGGAATTTCGAGGCCTGTTGTGCTTTGCCGGGATTTTCCAGGGCAGCAGAGAGCAAAGTTGTAGGAAGAGGAGAACGACAGCTCATCCCTGGTTAACTTTTCCCGTGGTTGGATCAGGTTGGATTAGTTCTCCAACTGATTTTGAAGGCTCAGTGGCTGCAGCTGCTCTGCCAGAGGGGTTTGCAGGCAGGTTTTCCCTCTGCTCACACACTCCCACATCTAAACAGCCGCTTGCAAACGACTCCTAAAACATCTTTGCTCCCCAAAGTAGGAAACCCGGCTTTTTGGGATGACACAGCACAGGCAGAGCGGCTTTCCTTGCCTCTGGAATGCACAGCTCCATCTGCTTTACCTCCCTGAAGGATTCCTGAGAAATACAGCCCCAAACATGCCCTCAATGAATCCCAGATTGGAGCCCCTGCGGAGGAACCCACCCACCCTTTGGAAATCCACCCCAGGCTCCCGGGAATGCCCAAATGTACACACTGCTCACAGCATTCCTTGCATTCCTCCCTGATTGCTTCCACATGGACCCTCACTCCAGATTCCTGAACTTCTGCTGCTCCAGCACCTTCCCCTTCCCAAAGCTCTGTGCACCCCCAGAGCTCTGGTGCTTCCTTAGGGGGGTGGTATTTCCAGGGATCTCTGGGAGCAGATCCTGGGAATTTCCTCCTTCCAGTCACACCCTGAGTGTGGTTTTGAGGCTTTTTGGGGTGTGGGGGGCAGTTCTCTGCCCTTCCATCAGACGCCTGCAAGTCACTTTATTAACAATATATTAACAAGAGCTCATGTCCAGCTGGGCAATAATGGAAATAATTCACCTCTGGGTTGTTTTTTTCCATCGGGGACCTCAAAAGACTCGATAAAATTCCATTAATTTCTGGGGTTTTACACAAAATCACCCTTCTTAAAACACAACTCTGGGTTTTTTTTGCTGGCAGGGGGTTTTTTGGCTGTGGTGGGATTGAGGAGTGTTGTCACTTATGGATGGACCGAGTATATAAATGACATATATAAAAAATGAGAGATATAAATCACCCAGTGTTGTTGCCCACATTTAGGGATCTACAGTGCAGGAAAATCCTCATCCATTCATTATCCTGGCTTTTAGAAACTCCTGGAGCCCTTTTGGGAAGAGTTTTTGGCCTCGTGCCACATTAACAGGTCCCTGTCCCAGCACTGCATCACCCTCCAACCTGAAAAAACCTTCTCCATGCCTGCAAAATCCCAAATGGGAACATCCCAAGGGGCAACTCGTGGCCATCAACCTCTGTTCTGGGACTCCTGACTCATCTCCAGCCTCCAGCAGAACTCCCAGGTCCTTCCCAGTGGGAAAAGGGCACAGAGGAGGAATAATTCCTTTCCACCAAAAAAACAAACCCCTGTGAACTGTCAGGATTTAGATTCCACCTGGAGAGTTTTCCATGCAGAGCCCTGTGCTGTGGGATCTGGTGTTGGAAGCACCACGCAGGGATTCCCAGAGGGATTTGGGAATTGCTTCCTGCCTGCCTGTCATTCTGCTCTTCAGAAACCCAAGCCAGCCAGCCCTCTTCCCGGAATTTTCCCAGGTGTTTGTCCCGGAGGTCTCAGGAAAAGCAGGAATGCTGCATTCCCAGCTCCAGCAGTAATTCCATCGTGTCACTGCAGTTTGCTTTAAAAAACCCTGGGCAATCCCTGCCCATCCAAACCACAGCCTGGCAAAAACTTCATCAATTTTCCATTGGAAAAAAAGACAAATCAAAGATATTTCTTCGGTTCCCAAAAGCAGGGAGTGATTTGATTCCACTTCAAAGAGCAGCCAGGGCTGGATGGACTCCTTGGCAGCTCTGGGGTGAGATTCCTGAGCTGCATCCCGGAGGATTTTTCATCCCAGAGGAGCAGGATTCACCAGCAAGGTGACGATTTCCCTCCCGGCATTCGGGGGAAATGAGGATCCTTGGGGAAAACAACCCCAAAAACCGGAATATTTTGTGACCTCTGCCCGGGTCAGGTCTGGAAGGGGCTGCCAAAACACCCCAAAATTTGAGGTGCCCAGAGAAATGTCTTTTCTTTTTTAAGAGAGCACGACTTTTTGGAGGGAGGAGGGTCCCCAGAATGTTCTCTTACCTCCAGCTGAGCCACAGTTGGGAGAGAGTTGTCCATTGGAGCACGTGCACATGTTCGGCCGCGAACAAAACCCGTCACCGCAGGAATTCCTGCAGATTGCTGGAGGGAGAGAAGAGAAGGAGGAGAAGGAGGAGAAGGAGGAGAAGGAGGAGGAGAAGGAGAAGGAGAAGGAGAAGGAGAAGGAGAAGGAGAAGGAG